AGTGAGAAACTGGTCCAACTCAAGAAATGTCCCATCAGCTACTAAAGATCATTTGTCGTTGTAATTATTTTTGTTTTTCGTGATGTTTCCCGTAGCCGGATGACTCAATCACGCATGCAGGTGGTAGCCCGATTTCCCAACAAGTAGGGCCACGGGCCTTGATTTTTGTCCGCTAGGTATGAAGAGCTAGCCCGGTTAAGTCTCATAAGCGGCTTAGTGTATTGGGTAAAATTCAAACAGTTCCAAAAAACCCTAGGACCGGTGCCATGGATCGCCCCCACTAAGATTGGCCCAACGAACTGACCCTAGTTTTCGGCCTGCCTTTGCTATCAGCTATTTTACCGACTTTCCAACAACAAATTTCAAATTTTACACTGAAATTTTCAAGCTATTTAAAAACCAAGAAAATTAAATATATAATCCAACCATTATACTAATTATCTCCAATTTTATTTATTAATTTATTTATTTTATGGATAATCATCTTATGAAATATCTTTCTTCTCTCTCATATCAAATACAAATAACTGCCTCCATAAGCAGTGGCGCCACCCATGTATGATGTATGCTACGGTAGCGCATCCAAAAGAACCAAAGTTTGGTAAGAATCCGGATAAGAACAGCATCAGGATCACTTTTTTAACTGCAATCATGTCTCTTTTTTTTCTGTTCTTTTTTTTCCTTGTTTATGATAATGATGGTTGTTGAAATGATGGTTTGTTGAAATAGGGTGTTAATTGAGTTGAACTACTCGTAATCAGCTCGAGTTTAAAAAAAAAGAAAACAGTGATGGCAGCACCACCTTTACATAAAGAAAGGGCAACCGATTACTACAGGCAATAAGGTGGGTGGGACACCACACATTCATAACTATTAAGCTATGTTAACTTCTCAGGCTATGGTTGCAAAAGTGAGGCCTGGGTGACTCTGTTTCTGGGACAAATCTCGTCAGCTTAACTATAAAAACACACTAACACACGCGCACATACACTTTGGAAAGCATCCCCCTTTATACGAATCTAATTTACAAAGCCCTTTATGCACCCAACAACAACTTTTACTTAGCTACCTCTCCTTCCTCTACAATGTCAAGAACCCTCAGAAACTTTTCTTCTGATTTCTTCCATCCTTCTGTCTTCTGACAGCACAGGAAGAAGAAGAAGGAACAGAATAAAAAGATGTGTTATTTAGATAACCCTTTAGCAATCCATGGCCAGTTGGAAGAACAGAGAAGATTATGGTTTCTTTTTCAGGTACCCACAGTGGTGGAGATACCGACACCGGAGGCAGAGCGAATGGTGGTTTGAGCCGTAAACGGAGGCGGCAGCGGTAGCACGTTGAAGCAGTACTGCATTTGTTCTCCAACAAGGCATCCGGGGTCATTTCGTTGCAGGCACCATGTTGCTAGCTATGTCTGGCGTGCCGGAAAAAATAAGAGATGCCGGAGGGAATAATTATATTACATTTGTGGAAGCTACATGAAGGGGAAGATTATACGCTTGTGCAGTTTCTTTTTTTTGTTAACAACGATGATCTTATCACATGTTTCCTTCGATTGCAACCTGTTTACACAGAAGTGTTTGCTAGAAAATCAGATTCTCTCTCTCTCTCTCTCTCAAAAATTTAGCTCTTTCATTGTTATTATTGAAGTGCTATTTTAACTCGCCATGAAATAATTTATTGTTGTTAGTTTACTAATTAGTCTCAACATTATCAATCCAACCCAACCACCATGATAAATCATATCAATAGATTAGGTAATTAGGTTCGACTTTGAGAGCAAATTATTTTGATGCATAATAAAGTATATATATATATATATGTTATTTAGTCCTCTCAACACACCCACAATTAACAGGACTGAACTATAATGAGCTTATTCTTTTTTTTTTTCAAAGGTTAGAGGTGTATGGATCAAATTATACGTATCTTAACTAATTTTCTTTTTGATCCGATCAAAAACAAACTATTCACACACACACAGACTAGGGTATTATCCCTCACGGTGCCTGGCTCTAAGGAATTATATTGGAGATGACCCATGTCGTAACAATGTAGCTGTCCAGTAGATACTTTGTAGATCTGGGACAAGCACTGGACCTTCATTTTTAGTTCTCTTAAAATTGATCGGCTATACAAGATTTTTGTTATTGTTGAATCGGAAGAATGTTCCATGTACGGAGTTTTACTTTTGCATATAGAGAGTGTGATTTCGCAAATTGAAAACTTGACACGTAAGTGTGGATAACTCATTAATAATCGGAACAAACATATTTTCTTTAATTTTTCTTTGTAAAATGTATGAAATATTATTGCATGTGAGACGAGGGTATGATCGTATACGTATACAATTAGGTCAATATCAATATGATTGGCATTTTCTACCAACTAATTGATGCCGAAAAGATGAACGATCCATCTCATTAATATTAAATTTAAGAGGTGGATAAAATTTTGATTTATTGCAGATATTTGTAGTTGGTGGAAATCGTTATCCTGCCATCGAATTTCTTCCAATGTCCTTATCAACGGCTCATCATACCCACTAGTTCAAATTCTGACTTTTGAAAAATATCGGCCAATCAATGCCCATCTCTTCTTTATTTATCCTCCCCCTTTTTTATCCTAAAATTTAAAAATGTTTAATATTAAATTGCAATTATTATTCTAAGCCAACTCAAAACTGATTACTATTGTTTATATTCATTCCTCACCTGGTTTCTGCCCATTGTTTACGAAGGAATAGATTCATTTAATTTCCAGTGATTAAGATTAATGGTAATTTTTATAAATTTCTATTAGAAAATATATTCTGGTCTTTTTAATGGGTCGTGTTATATTGATTTAAAAATATGATAAAAATTAGAATCAAATAATAGGACACTAAAATAAAATTAAAAAAAAAAAAAGAGAGAGTGCAGTCAAAAGTATCACCATGTCAAGTGATATATCTTTTAGTTCCTTTTTTTTTTTTGGGTCGATTTAGCATTTTTCCTATGCAATTTTGTAACTATTAAAAAAGTTTAAAACATCATCCACAAAAATTTATGAAAGAGAAAAAAAAAAAGAAGAAAATATTAGCCGCCTCTAAGTCGGTAGCTGATAAACATGAACTGTGCATAAAGTAAATAAATCTAATGATTGTCGTTCTCTTTGCAAGGAAGTTGAGCTGTCGTGGTTGTTTTCTTGCATAACTTAAGTTTTACTTGATTCGAAAAGAATGTTACTTACACTTAAAAATTAAACCTAACTTTTTGTTTTAATGACGGGATCTAACAATATTATTATAGTTTTAACAATAAAATTTCTTTGTTCTAAGAGATTGGTCAAGTAATAATTAGAAAGAATCATAAATTTAAATGTCTTAAGTTTTTAAATTTTATTAATTTTTTTTAAGTTAAATTATGAAAGATTTATCTTTCATAATTATTTTAATCCAACAAAAATAAGTCGAATTTAACCCAAGCGAGGAAGGGAATAGTCGAGAAACTTTGCCGGCCAACAAAGCACTTACACGTACTAAGTTCATGTTTCTCTCCATTATGAACTCGCATTATTTGTGTGTCTCTCTCTGTAAGTATGGTCATCTCGGGAAAAAAAAACTCTTAAGGATGATAAGGCCTCTGCTTGTGTTGTGTCAGAGAGAGAGAGAGAGAGAGAGATCAGGAAGGTCAAGAGATTATAAGTTTTGTAGGTTCAGCAATGATATACAGAATAACACATGACATGCTTAAAGAAACAGAGAAAGTCCTTACAATCGTACTTTCTTTTTTTCACAGAATTGAAAGAGACCAGACCAGGCAGGGCTCCTAAAGATATATATATGCAGCCCCTATACCCAAGCAACCGTTCAACCTCTTACGTAGACTCCACTGATTTCGGAGAGAGAGAAGAAACGCTGTCACTCGGAGGCATGGACTTCGATCTCTTTAACCACGCCGTCGAACTCGACCTGTGAAATCGGCACCGGAAAGACCCTTTATGGGTCGTCGGCGAACACAAGCACTGCCCTTTTGGTGAATTCACAGACCCAGAAAGGGACTCTCGTCCACTGCCGCCTTTAGGTGATGATGTTGTAACAGTGATACCGCCATGGGAGGCCATATTTAAGTTATTTTCTTGAAGAAGAAACTACAGAGATTAATGGAGGAAATTAAATTGAAAAGGGTTTGTATAAATAGGAAAATGAGAGGAGAACTCAAATTTATCTCTAAGAAGTGTGAGGTGAGGATAGGTAATGAGATCAAGTGGCTTGATTTGAATGCTTGTTTCAATGGCTAGTGTGCGACCAACCAAAGAAAGGCTTCCATTACATCTGAGACGAAATCATGACAGAACATTTTCAAAATATATAGCTAGGCCCTACCTCTTGCTGAGTAAATATTCTCTGAAACGGTTACACTACCATGACAGTATAGAATTTATTTATAGACTTATTCGTTTATTAGTAAATGATTACATCACGTATTATTATAAACATAGATACAGTGTAACCATTGCATCGAATATTTTTCTCTTTTTTTTGTTTTCTATTCTACAGTTCCTCTAGTTACACGGTAATACTCGATCGACATACACATACCACAATAATGCCACGGGCCCACAGTATCGTCTGGAACATGTTTTGTTCCCTTCTACAGTTTTTTACTATTTTCATTGAAAATCAGCGTCTGAGCCCGAATCAAACCAAGTGAAAATTAACCTGAAAAGTGAAAAGGAAGAAAATTCAAGCACATGGTAACGTGTGTGGCTGCATAGAAGAGATTATCAGGAGGTTTCATGTGGGGACATCATGTCTCTGAATGTGCACGTCTCAGATTCTCTTATTTCTCTAATAAAATATTAATTAAAAAGGGAAATTTTAAGATTAACCATTCCAAAGTCCCAATCAGGAACCTCCTCGTGTACCAACAGCAATGTCCCTCACTGACCAGTTCTTGCCTTTTCATTATTGGGTTTTGAAGATTGTTTATTAATAATGATTTTTTTTGGTAAAACGTACATTGAGGTTAGGCATTAGCATAATAAGTGATAATGCTCGGTATATATGTTTGAGTCCTTGTGGGCCCAAAACCCTCCGACCTCTTAGATAACAACCTAAGAAGTTCATCCTGGTAATATTTCTGTGAGGGCGAATTAGATACACCGCATAGCCAAGACATAACCTAGAGAAGCTCGGGTCGAATGGGCTCGGCGCATTTGAGTTTGGGACACGATAACCCGAAACAAAGTCAACCAAAAAAATTGTAAATGAACACAGATCCGACAGATAAGAAAACTCAAATGAACAACAATTCACTTGTAATGAAGACGGATTAATAACAACAGTCTACATATAGTAGAATCAAAAGTGTTTGGAACCACAACACCAGAGTAGAAATTGATATAGAGAGACCTACTAAATTAGTCAAAAAGAACAAATGAGGAACCCTAACTATCGATAGTATAAAAAGTTGGAAGTGCTACAATGCAAGGGGAGACCTGTAAGTGAGAGAGAAGTCGTCTCTAAGCTAACAACCTTAAGCCTAACTTTTTGTAACAATCATCATCTTTCTCAAATAATATAATTCTTCAAAGAGGAAAAATCTCTCTTACAGTAGATATAACCTTAGTCATTCGGCTAAGACAAACAACTTAAATTTCATCTTCTCTTCTTTATTCACTCACAAGTAAACACTTTCACACACACCCATTTAAGCGATCACACGTATATCGAGTCTCCTCTGATTCTGTTTTGTGACCTACATCCGTTAGTTTAGAGCACCATCAATAAGTACTATTGTTGTTGTTGAATTTTAAGGTTATGAGTTTAAAATTTGTCGTATTCTTCCCTATAATAATGTCCGATAAAAAATAAAATGTAAAAAGAAAAAGTAAAAGTACATTCATATGTTGTGTAATAAAAAAAAGACAATTTTATGCGGCTCAAAATTGGGATTCCAAATGACATTTTAAATCAATAAATAGTGAATTCTATTTTTAAATATTGATGGAATCTATGGTCCTTTTTTATTTGAAATGATATTTACGATCAAAATTTAAGTTAGATAGCATTTTCCCCAAAATTTTTGAAGAATAACCTCTATACTGTGGGCTCCAGACCCATATCTTGAAACTTAGTTGTGGCTTTGGGGATAGGAAAAGACAAGATTGGGCCGTTCAATCCTAATTATTACCACCTACCCGGATTTGAGAGTTTGGATTGGATAGGCTATGTCACCCACTTTCACCTATCCCCACCACACTTATCACTGTCATCATTTGTCACTATTCATCACACTATCGCCTAGAAGCACACATCGTCACCACCACCACTATCATCATCGCCCACCACCACCACTGCCAACCACCACCACCCACACCTACTACCACCACCATTTTTACATACGGTTGCCATTACCATTATCGTCACTCAAAATTCATCACTACCATCACCATTGTCACCTACGACTACTACCATCACCACAGTCGTTGTCTTACCCACCATAATTGTCATCATCTCCCACCACCATTACCACCGTTCACCCCCATTACAATCAGTGCTTAAATTTTTTATCTATCTTCTATGTTTATGATTTAATTTTGGATGTGAATATAAATATACTGACCTTTTTTTTATTACTCCCTGTCTTCAGCCAAGAGAAATAACTAGTTTATATAATAAAGAACAATACAATTCAAAATTTAAAAGATAAACAAAATAACTTTTATTTTTTACGGTTAAGATCTCTTTAAATTTTAGTAGTATTTGGAACAACCCTACCACCACCCCACCAGCACTACCTCCACCGCCCCACCACCACCACCACCACTACCACTACTACCACACCCGTTGTCCCACCACCACCATTCATATCATCCCACCACTACCATCATCACCGCTACTGCTACCCTACCACTACCATCACCCTCACCGCCCTACCCCCCACCACTGTTGTCTCTCCGCCACCATCTCTTCTACAACAACCATCACCACCACCACCCCACAACTACCCCGCCACCCACCGTCCAATCATCGTCTCTCACCCCACCACTGTCACTCACTATCACTACCACCACTCGTCTCAACTATAGTCGGTGCATAAATTTATTTCTCTCTCCTCTATTTTTATAATTTGATTTGAATGTAAATATAAATATATTTATTGTTAACTATTTTTTTTTATTATTTTGTGTCTTCTATCACAAAAAATAGTTAATATATGCGCACTGAATAAGGTTTTGGGCTTATACCGCATCACAAAAATATAAAATATTCCGAACATAACATAAGCAGACTTTGGAACGAGATTTGTCCGGTCCTATCTTTTATCTCCTAACCAAACACACTCTTTGAGTTGCCAGCCTTTTATCTTTTTCGTCGTAGACAGGAAAAAAGGAAAGAGATAAGCTTGTAAACTATATGAAACAAATACGATTTCGTGCAGAGGCGATTAGTTGAGTAAATATTTAATATAAAAATTACAATACATTAATAATATCATATTGTATATTTTCTATTAAAAAAGAAGATAAAATAGACCCCTTTTTGTTTACGTGAAGGCAATTATATATTACATGAATAGTGATTATTAAATTTTGTCAAATTTATTTGTTTATTTATTTTTTAATTAGTGATCAATTATGATATAATATAGAGTAATATTATTTGAATTTAAAATTTTAATCTAATTTATTAACATAATAATGTAATTTCAATAGACTCATTAGATCAACACCAAATCAATATTTTCTCGAGTTGGCCAAGTCAACAAAATGAGAAACCCGCCTTGAAGCGCGAGACTTTCGGTGTGGGATCGCATTTCAAGACATCCCGCCTTCCACGCCTCCTGTGTGCCCAAATTTCTTCGCAAAGGACAAAATGGCCCTTCAGCCCATAATTATATGCCAATGTCTGAAAATGCCTACAGAGGATAAGGGCCACCGCCACCACTCACACCAGGCACAAAAGCAGACAATAGAGAAGGGGCTTACAATTACATGACATATGGATGGATGTACACGTGGCAAAAGTATTTCGACTATTAGGTATGTGAGTGTGAGACAATAAGTAGTCAGTCAGTCTTTTGTGTTCGGATTGTATTATTTTTTAATTAATATTATATTTGAATTATAATATTTTAAATTCAAGTTGAGTTTGATTTAATTTTAATCCATCTTATTTAGTTAATCATGTAAAATATTTAAAGTCTAGCATTTGAATTGTTAAGTAAAATAATAAAAACAAGACTTGGACTTTTTATCTCTCAATCAATCAAATCCGAGTCATCATAATTCATCGTCAAAAGAGCTTTAGCCTAATAATAATAATAATCCATGACGAAATGGATAGAAAAGGCCGCCCCCACTAACAGCAAGACCAAAAGCAGACAATGAAGAATGGGTGCATGTGGATAGAAGTTTAACTAATTATATGAAATTGGAAATTATACTTTACACCAGCACCTCCGCACGAATGTTTTGAAATGGAAAATGATGCGAAACTTGAGTGCGTGCCTTGCTGCTTCTATTTGTCTCTGATTGTGGTATTAATTCCTCATTATGAGTAAATTGCCCTCTTTTAGTTGTCCATTTTTTCAATTGGTTCTTTAACTTATAGGGAGACTCAGTATTGGGGCCACCAGGTGTGAGTAGAGGTGACAAATGAGTGAGTTAGATTAGTTATGAATCAGGTTGAATTGGATTAGACTAAAAATAAATTTAATCATTTTTTTACTCACGTAATAAAATGAGTTATAATGAGTTGAATTAAACCGATTAATTCATAAAATAATTAAAATTCTTAATAGACACATTAGTACATCAAAATACACACACACACACATTAGTAATACACAAAAATACAAACATACACACACACACACACAAATACACTAATACAAACACAAACTAATACATTAAAAATATACACACTAATATACCAAAAATACACACACATATACAAACACAAAAATTAAAACACATTTTATAAAAAAAAAATACACACATAATGGGTCAGGGTCAATTGTGGGCTATGGGTTGGTTGTGGGTCACGGTCGACCCGTGTGTCCTGGGTTGATCCATGGGTCATGGGTCAACCTGAGGGTCATAGGTGGTGTATTAGTGTGTGTTTTTTGTGTACTTGTGTGTTTATTTTTTGGTGTAATAGTGTGTATTTTTTAGTATATTAATATATTTATTTAATTTTATTACTTGCGTTATTTAATAAAAAAATAAATACTCAACCCAATGGGTACTCATTTGTAATTCATATTAATCCGCTTAATTAAAATTAATCATATTATTCAATCCATTTTGAACTCATATTAATTAAAATAAGTATCAAATTCATTTATTTATGGGCGGGTTAGACAGATTAATGAGTAATATGTTAAGATTGTCACATCTAAGTGCGATCATACGGGCACT